AAGGGTAAAAGTCCCCTTAATTTTGATTTTTAGTGTAAATATAAACTATAAAAGTGTGGCCTATTAATCCTTTAGTCCCTTGAAATTTAAGGCTAGAGGTGCTAGAAAAGTTACTATAGGGATAACTAGCTTGTGGCAGCTAAGCGTTTATAGCGACGTTGCTTTTTAATCCTTTAATATTAGCTCTTCTTATTATACTAAAGCAGAATTTAGTAAGCGTTAGATTGTTTACCTACTAATAAGGAACATAAGCTAGGTTTAGACTGTTATAAGATAGGTTAGTTTTACCTTACTAATAACCTTGTTATAATAGTAATTAAGCTTAGTACAAGAGGAACTACTTATTTAGATAATTAGTTTTTATAGCTGTCTAACTAGGTAGTGCTATAACGCTACTATCTGCTAGATAATAGCTAAACGCCTCTAAGTTAGAATCTATACTAGAACGTAACGATACTTCCTGCACGTATAGACAGACATAAATAGGCTTTAGCTTAGCGTCTTAGCAGGCAATTCCTTTACTGCTTTTAAAGTAAGTAGTAGTATTTTACGAATTATAATTTTAGCATAAGCAGGGTTAAATCCTTTGCAGATAACTTAGATATGTAAAAGGGTCCTGTAAGCAGTAGAGTAGCCTTGTTATTACGATCTGCTAAGGGTAAGCCCTCCTTTGCCTTAATTTCCTTATAAACTTTAACGGCCTCTAGCTAGGAGAGCGCAAGGTAACTAGACGGTTAGGAGAATAAGCGAGGCCGCGCCGGCGTTCCGGTGCGGCTAAGTCTTATGTGAACAAAAAAGGTACCCTAGAAAAGGATACCAGAGGTCAAGTGCCGCTTATAAGAGCCTAAGTGCCCTAGGGGGGCAGGAGGGCGGCTAGGTGTATAGACTAGAGTTACCCTAGAAAGGGAAAAAGGTACCCTAGAAGGGGCTCTAGGTAGAAAAGGTACCCTAGGGAGGCCTCCTACTAACAAAAAGAAGGGCCCCTTAGTAGGAAAAGGTACCCTAGAAAAGAAAGTGCCTAGGGGGAATTAATTAGGAAATATAGGTTAGGTATAAGGCGGTGTAATAGAGTATAAGTAGTCTCTTAGGTCCTATATATATAAGGGAACCTTCTTAAAAAGGTAAAATAAGGTACTAAAAAATAAGTTTCTTATTAGATACTAGGTAGGTATCTTATTTTTAGAGGGGAGGTTTTTTTTTATTAGGTATACACTAGAGAAAGGAAGTAGAATAGTAAAGAGGAAAAAGAAAGTAAAGTAATATAAGGTATAT